TATTTTATGTGTATGAGTGTATTGCTTGCATGTGTGTAAGTGCACCCATGTCGTGCAATGCCCATGGAGGTCAGAAGACAGTGTCAGATCTCCGGGAACTGGAGTTACAGACAGTTGTTAATTGCCATCCAGGTGCTGAGACTTGAACCCAGGTCCTCTGCAAGAGCAGCCGGTGCTCTTAACCACTGAACCATCTCTCCAGCCCACAATGAGGAATTTTATCACAAATCCTCAACAAAGATAACCAGCTCATTCCAGATACCAGAACCAGCATGCCTCTAGTACTTGTGGGGCCTTGAGGAAAATGAATGGCCTATGAGTCTAATATTTAAATATCTTATTTGTTATTTTTATTTTTTATGTGTATGAATGTATTGCCTGCATGTATGTGAGTGTACCCCTGTTGTGCAATGCTGCAGAGGTCAGAAGAGGGCTTCAGATTCCCCTGGAACTGGAGTTAAGGATGGTTTGTAGCCACCATGTGGGTGCCGGGAATCAAACCGGGACCTCTGCAAGAGCAGTCAATACTCTTAACTGCTGAGCCATCTCTCCAGCCCCTTTTATTTTATTTTTAAAACTATTTTATTTAAAGTATTTTATTTATTATTTTTATTTTTTATGTGTATGAGTGTATTGCCTGCATGTATGTAAGTGTACCCATGTCATACAATGCCCACAGAAGTCAGAAGACGGTGCTGGATCTCCTGGAACTGGAGTTACGGACAGTTATTAGCTGTCATGTGGGTGCTGGAAATCGAACCTGGGTCCTGTGCAAGAGCGACTAGTGCTCTTAACTGTTGAGCCATCTCTCCAGCCCCCTGTCTTTTATTTTTTATTAGTAAATATTACGTATACATAGTGGGTTTCATTATAACACTTTGATACATGTATATAATATATTTTGATCTTATTCACCTCCATTACCCTCTCCCATTCCCACTGATCCCCTGCTTCCCAATTAGCCCCTCTTCTACTTTCATGGCTTCAAAATTTTTGATTGTTTTTTACCCAATGAGTTTCATTAAGGTTGTTTACAGGAGCATAAGTGAGGTTGTTTATAGGAGCATGGGCATCTATCTACACCATTGAAGAAAATGTGTCTTCTTCCCCCAGCAACATCAACTGCATAAAAATAATTTGTTTTTATGTAACACTTTTGCATCTTAATTTTACTCCTTCAACAACCCCAAGTCATGGGCACTGTTATTTCCATTTGGCAGCTATGGAAACCAAGGCTGGGAAGATGAAGACTATGACTCTGGCTAAGGGCCATTACTGGAACTCATGTCTTCTGATGTCCCCAGTCCTGTGCTCTTTTCAAGTCATCCAAGATTCCTCCATGTTTGCTCACTGTGTGACTCAGGGCAAAAGCCTTTGCCTTTCTAGGCCTGAAGTTCCTTGTCGCCTGGTGAGGAAGCCTGACACAGCTCCCTAGGGAGTGGGTGAGGCGGTCATTAGGTACTGGCTTTCAGATATAAACTCAGGGGAAGGGCAGCCTGGGAAATTCCAGGAGGGGAATGAGTCCATATCCTGTGATTTCTGTCACACTAAGCCCAGGATAATCAGCAGTGAAAAAGACCAGAATGAAGCCCAGGCAGAGGACCCAACCTCCTGTGCGGCCCCTGAGGCACAGCCTGGTTCAGCACTGCATGGTTCAGGGATGGCAGAAACAATTTGACAGCTCCTGTGGGAGCCTCAGGGCAGCGATAACAATCCAGTCCTGCCTCTTTCCCAGGGCTGCACTGAAGATGAAATGAGATCATTAGCACAGGGGCATTTGAAATAAGTTGAAAGCACTGAAATGAATGGAGGGCATTAGCAGCCACAGGGTGGCTTCTCTCTGCCAAGTGGTGGTCCAGGACTGACAACATTGTTGTTAGCTTAATGCCTTCCTTACCCTGCCTTCCCAGCAGCATTGCCACAGCCCTGCAGAGCCGGGCAGAAAAGGCCTCAGAGACCCCAGGAGGCACAAGCTTGGGAGCTTTTGCTCCCCATTAGCAATTCACTCCTGTCCCCACTTTCTGAGCTAAGCATCTGCATTTCTTCCTGTTCTCCCCCCATTCCCTTTCTCCACTTCACACCACCCCTGGAGCCAGCTAAGTGTAGTTGAAGCGACCCAGTGCCCTTGTTCACTGTGTCTGACTCATCTTTGTCTTGTCTGCTCTCCCTGCCTGCCACCCTCAAGGCTCCCAGTTCTCTTTGTTCTCCCTCATTGTGCACAAACACCATGCCTGTCTCATTGAAATCTTATTTGTCCTTTCACGTTTACCTCATTTACTGTGGGCCTCTGAATGTTAGGTGTACAGATGTGCAAGTTTGTGATTGTGACTATAATCATCGGTCATTAGCAAGCCACATACTTAGGTCATATCTCCAGGGGGCTGAGTGCTTGATAGCAATCTAAACCCATGAAGTAGGAGGAATAAGGCACATCACAGACCTGCAGTGCACAGTGAAGACTCAGCTATTTGAAACTGTACAGAGAAAACTCAAATGTTTGTGCACAGGACAC